TGTCGTCCTTGTCTCTCATCCTCCCTTATTTTGCGTTGAGTTTATTACTCTCTTGTAATACCCCTAATCCACGGCGCTTATATTATCTAAATGTGTTTCAAGTGCCCTAAAATGTTTACTAAAACTTAACTACAATACATTTTTTGATAATGCTCAAGACCATGAATCCCAATCAGTCATTTATTTCTGTCTTTTTGTCAAATACTGAGTGCCCATTTACAGCTTGACGAAGAGAAAAAAATAGGTCTGGCATTCCTCTCTGAACTGCCGACTTGGTTGACAAGGAAATCAAACCTATGATAACAAGACTACAAGTCCCTGCTTTAACAATCAGCTTAGCACCGCCACTCCTACGTCATATTTCAACTTTTGCTTGTCCGTCCCCTTGTCTGTCACCTTGTCTTTGGTTCTTCAAATAGACCATCCCTTGAAATACTTGTAATTTACCACCCTGCTTAATCCTATTGTATCGTTTAGCTGGGAATCTCTGAGAACGTTTGACACTGTTTCTCTCTCTTTAAAATAATAAAGTCAAATGTGTAGTCTATCGGAGCATGTTGGTTTTAAACAAATGTCCGGAACAAGATTATTGACTGCAACAACTGATTGGTTTGTTAATATTTTCACTATAAGAATTTATGGTACGGAGTGAATAAAAAGAAACAGGCTACACTGCAGGGGCTGAATCATTTTTTCTTTTTCTCTCGGCTAATTGCAAGGGGGGGGGGGTCACGTGATCTGTCTTCAAAACAACATAAAGTGTATTGTATTCAAATGAAAACTATATTTTAAGAAATCACCATTTAATGTACTTTATATATAAGCAAACTTTGTAAACAATGGTTTTCTGTTGTTGCCTACAGATACAAAGTTCCAGCTGGAAGGTGCACAGGAGAAGGAAGTTGAAATGGAAGAAGACGAAGACGAAGCTTTGCAGACTGACTTTGTTCCACTTGAGGACATGCCAAAAGAGCGCGTATCATTTGAGGATCTACGGAACCGTTTCAGGCAGGAGTACAGAACAGAGTTGGCAGAAGTAAACCCCTACGTGGCCTACGCAGAGTCTCAGTACCTGGTCTCCTGGAGGTGCTGCCCCCGTCGTCAAGGATACGGTTGCCGAAGCTACAGACGTCGTCTGCCGTGCTTCTACGACACCAGCTCCAACCCCCCGGCCAGATGCTGTCCTTTCTACCCGTCTAACGCCATCTACACCGCCTACTGTAACTGCAACAAGTGTGCCCTGCTCACCGAGAACTGTGCGTCTGTGGGCCGCTGTCTGCGCCGCTACACACTGCGCAGTTTCTACGCCGTCTGCTCCACCAACCCATGGTCCGTGAAGCGTTTCACCAGGAGAGTTGCCACTAGCTGTTACTGCAGAACCCACTGCTAAAACTCTTGTTCTCATTTACTTTTGGTATTGGCACTAAGTAGTATTACGTCCC